CGTTATTGAAGTTGAACGATATCTGATATCGCTGCACCCTCATTTCAGAAAGGACCCTGCGCTTACGACCACCCCCCCCCCACCTCCCTCGAAGCCAAATATTTCCCTGTTGTGATTATCATAAAGATGGCGTGCCCTGGACCCTGGTTCTGCGCTCCGAACCACAGCCATTGGTTCAGGGAAGCAACGATCTGCACTTGTGACCTCCCCTAGAAAATTCTTTTTCTTTCTGGATTCTCTCTATTTCCTTGCACTTCCTCAGAATTGTTCTCCACCACCCACATGAAACCGCCGCCGAGCGGGTCGAAGCGGAGGGGGGGGGGAGCACTGTTATATAGCACGCTCGAAACAGGAAAAGCCGGAAAGTTAGTAACCACATTTTTTTCAAAGTCAATTACGACCTCCCGTCCACCCCGATACGAGCCCCAGCGCACGAGCTACCCTGCTGCAAGGTACAGCATCGTTAGGAGAATTTCATGATCGGAGGTGACCGTACTCGGCAGCTGGTAAGAAGGGCCGCATTCGCCTCTGAGGACAAGTTCTCCGATCCGAGAGGAGGTTTCTCCGACTGTGATCCTTCTCGGTTCTCTCGTTTCATTTCTCGTCGCGTTACACTCCTCATTTCACTTAATAGTATTTGGTAGCACTTAAAGGCAGCGTCCGCGTTCAGTTGAGATTTTCCTCTCCCTTCGTGAGCAGGTAGTCAGGTCCGCAGAGGCAACAACTACACCACTTTCGCGGCGCAAAAACGCGTGAGGAGAGCCACGATGCCGTCGTTCTTATCATTGACCCAACCTACAATCATTGGCACCGCCCACCATTCATTTCTAATGGTTACCTGATGGTGCGGTTGTTTCGCTGCTGCTTCTCTCCACGTCGAGTGGTGAGAGTGAGGTGATAAGGGAAAACAGCTGATATCAACAAGTGAGAACTCGTGCGACCGCACCTTCTCTTCGCCTTGAGCACGTACAACCTCAGTTAAGCAAGGGGTTCTATATAGAGCCTTTCCTATGATTTCTTTCTGATTTTTCTTCACTAAAGGGTTACTTGCTACCTTGTTATAAGTATATGAGCCGCATAACAGATCAAATTCCAATGCGGGCTCAGCCTTTAAGACCTAACCCTCTCGCCCACCTTCCCACCCTGATCGACGGCAGCTTTCCGGGGGAAAACCAGAGGAGTTTCTTGAAAATTGGAAAGTAGTGGAGAGTTGGGAAAATTAAGAAGATGGTAGGTTGGTTAGGGAAGAGGGTTGAACTAGAGGGAGTAAATTGGGGCAGGAGTAGGGGATGGGGAGGGCCGTTCTGACACTGAAAGTTTCACCCATCGGGATGCTGTACCCTGTAACTCTCTCTCCTCACTCCATAAGCGTAGAGAGGAATCTGAGATTGAGAGCTTGAAAAAAGTTCCCGCATAGCGGGAAGCTTAATCACTTCTAATGGACTGCGGCCTTCGTTGTCTTCCTATTTGTCACTGCAACGAGTCTACTCACTTCCTCTAACCAAGGCTCATGCCTAGAGCGCAGACGACCAAATCCGCATGGAGACAGCGGAGACAGGTAGAGCAGAGCGGCTGCCAAGACCCTGGAAGGCAGGAAACGGTGTGCAACAAACCAGGAGATGGTCTTTTTCAAGGGTAGAGGGATCCGAGCCACTTATCATACATGAAAAATCGGAACAATTCGTTTGTTAAGGACGCTGAGGCATTCAGAGCCTCGCCGAACCCAATCCCTCTAAAACGACCCATCGTGCGCAGATAGAGCCCCACCCCGACGAGAGAGCACCAAGGAAACTTTACAGTCGAGTGCAGTGACTCTGCCTGCAGAGGAGCCGATACGTGGCCCTCTCAACTACGTCGACCTTGTTGGCACCTCGTGCCGCACGCCTCGAACGCACAGTGGCTTCTTCTAGGACCCTACGATGGAACGTTTTAGATCAAGAAATTCAACTCGCGACATAGCGCACAAACCAAAATTCTTAGCTAGTTGACTCATCACCTCATAACTTAGGCGTTAAGTCAATTAGATCATGGCAGCCTACGCCCTATACAGCTCATTTCACGGCCTGCTATAAAAAAATCCGCCACTCGATAACTATTCTTTCTCTTCTATTTTGTTGCACTCAACTATTCTGTCTCTTTTCTTCTCGTTCTACTTCAAGTTTTGAGGAACACTCCATGAAAGATTCCGCATTTGAAACCGCTGAAAGATATCTGAACGGTAATCCACAGACTCGGGAAGGAAGAGAGCAGTTCATTAGTCTCCGTCTTCATCGACTCTCTGAGATAAGGCCGCCAACTAAACGATATCAGACGCAGTTCATCGTGTCATAATTGATTTGACGCCTAAGTCACACCTATCGAGTCAACTAGCTAGCAATGCTAATTTGCGTGCAATTTCGTGATTCTGAGGTCGTAGACTGCATCACCTGGGAAATAATGCAAGACTGAAAAGCCAGGTGAACGGAAGATACGATGAAATAGCTCTAGACTGAAATATCCTCGAAATTATCAATTATAAAAGCTTTCTGGCGAACAACAAATGGAGTTTTTATTGTATAACTGGAGAGAGTTCGAATCATGGAAGCTGAGGGATTTATCAATCCTCAGAAGTAAGGTTGTTGATGTAAACAGACGAAAAGAGACGAAAACATTTACTTATTGGGTCGCTCTCCGTCTGGATGGGCTCTTCCGTCTGCTATCTATCCTGTGAGCTAGACACATAGAGCAAAGGTGCTAGACGTCCTATGCTGGTGCGGTGCTCTTTGCAAAATAGCTCACAACTGATTTACTCCCATGCTTGTTGTTGATTTTGACATTTTGCTCTACCCTTTATTTCTACATCAGCTGGATTGACTGAGCAATACTTCACAGAGGTTTGTTTGTGTCTTTTTTGAATGTACTTTATCGTGTAAGCGATTATGACTATCATTTTTATTATCACTTACTTATTATTGTTGTTGTTACTGTTACCATTATTATTATGACTGTGCCTATCCCTGTGAGTTAAATAAAATTAGTAACATTAACAATAATGATAGTAACTTTGATAATAATGCTAATAAGTGGTTACGATTCTCATTTATTATTATCACTTGCTACCATTATTATTACTGTTACTATTTTATTGTTGTTTTTATTATCACAAGAATGCTGAGTTGTGGGCAAAAGTCGTGCCCCAGGCGGGAGTCGAACCCGCACCTCACGCTTTCCGGGCGAGTGCGCTATCCCTTAACATAACAAAACAGCTTCAGAAAGTTGTTTTTATTATTTTTCTTATTATCTTGGTTGCTTTTATTATCTTTATTTGGTGGTGTTTTCTATTATTTTTCACTAGATCCATTCGTATAAGATCTATAACTTCAATCAAAGCGTAAAAAGACATCTGTTGAAAATTCTCTAGAAAATACAACTGTTCCTATAAAATATGTTGTTTCATCTTCAGTGGTGGTATACTCTATATCTCTGGGATGGGCAGGGTGTTGCTGCGTACTTCATTCGGAATGTGGTACAGGATGGATTTTTCATAGAATATCTTCATTTGAAACAACTGTCATCCTGCCTTGTGCTGGAAGAAAACGTGAATAATTGTGTCGGAACTGAAGTGCCTCACAGAAATGCCGCCCCGGTCGACTGAAGCACGCAGCCACTCCCGCCCCAACTCCGCGATTTGGACTCTAGATGTAGATGCTACAGATAGTATAATATTACTTGCAGAACTGATGCAGTGGTATACGATATTCTCACTAGCTGTTCTTCCATGCTGTTTGTTAGCAGCTAGTTCTTTAACAGTTGTAATCGACCTTAATGAGAAGTTCTTGGATGTTAGTAATGAAGGATTTTGGATTGTAAAGGTATGTCAAATCTTCTCGGCCTTTCACTATTTTTTCTCAATTCAAATTAAGTGATA